GCAGGTTCACGTAGCAGTTTTGATTTCCACATTTGTGATCAGCCTCCCAGACTCGATTGATTAACCTAGGTCTCGATTTGAATGGAGTCGTGTCCCACCTTGTTTCTATCGAAGAGGATACTCGAACCTAACCAGAGGCTAACCTGGAAAGTGTGCTCACTTACATTTCACTTTCCTGGATGGAATCCCACAATGGATCCGGACCGCTCGTGTTTCAGCAGGGTGCAGCACTAGTTGGTAGATCGAAGGTGACATCGCAGCACGCGAGAACACCAGCCCTGGTCTCACCAGCGCTCAATTACGGTCAATCAAAAGTACTTACTTCAACAGAGTGGAATATTCGTGTTGAGCTTTTTAGAGAGCAAGGCCTGCTCGTAACAACACCACCCAGCCGCAGCCCAGATAACGAACCTGCTCTACGTTTAGGAAGAAATTTGTTTGGAGCACCTACGCGCCACAGTGGACGACCTCTCCTCACAACTAAAGGCTAAAGCTCGGTCCGAAAGAGACACTTTGAGATGTGAAGCCGGTTTGGTAATAGCATTTCATTCGTAAACTTTTGTTAGAAAGCGAGCCCTCAATTTATTGTTTTACATTTTGACTTGTTTTGTTTGTTAACTGCTGTTTTGGCCGCAGTTCGCTTGCGAATGTTTCACAAGAATGCTGGGTTGTGAACAAAACTTTCGCCCCAGGCGGGACTAGAACCCGCACCTCTCGCTTTCCGGGCAAGTGCGCTACCAGTTACGCTACCGGGGCACCATTTCATTCCAACTCAGCTTTTCATGGTATACGTACCATAGCTTTCAGCACTCACACGTATAACGTGTTGAGCCGGTTAGCCGATATCGGCAATGACCGCGAGGCTGAAAGCTTTAGCAATGAATTTTGACTTGTTTTGTTTGTTAACTGCTGTTTTAACGCCGTTTGTTTGTTTTGAAGTTTTACAAGGCGAAAATTGAGCAAGTAATTTTGGCGCATTCTCTAGATCCTAGATGGACGCAGACGACAAATCAAACCCTGTTTTTGTTTTTTGCTTTTTTGTGAAGTATGCTCAGCAAGTTAATTCTATTCCTCCAATCTTTGGTTATGGGTTGATGGATATGTGAGTGAGCGACGTCCAATTTTCGAGGCTAGGTAAAAATTTCAGAACCAAGTAAAACTCCGGCCTAAGGGGTAGTTCGGTTCGGTTACGATTATCACACTTGTCTTGAACGAAAACATCTGCCACCTGCGCCCTGGCGCGCAGTCATGAGCAAATTTCACCTCAAATTGTTAGGAACTGATTCTATAGGCTGATCAGATTTCGAAGCCAGCTACGGAAGTATGAAACTTTTCGGAAGTTTCTCTCCCTACCTTTCTCTTCCAAAGTTATTTTCCTCTCTGCCGTTGTTTGTAAACATGAGGGTGACGGAAATGGAGACGGATGTCATTGGCATTCCCTAAATTCCTAGGAGCTATCATACAGGGAGGAACGTGGTTACAAGGCTTATGTCAACCTAGGCCGATGTCAGACTTTGCGAATCGCGCATTCGCTAGCGCTGCGGTCGCGTTGCGGCCAGGGAATCACTCAATTGGCTGGTACCGCAACGCGACCGCGGACGCTCAGCGAATCGCACGATTCGCAAAGTCTGACATCGGCCAAAGGGTGAGAGCGTAGCTGGAAAAGCACACACTTTGTGTCTTATTGGGACTAAGCCTTTTGAAGAAGATAAAGAAAGAGGAGATGCTGTGATAGTGTGCACTTGTGAGAGCTCCCAGACATCACTACAAAACGCTGAACCGCCAAGGCTCACGGTTGACAGATGTCCTGAGACCGAGAAACGTACCTAAAGGTTGCAATAACAGATGCTCGCTTTCCTTTCAACGCCGGTAGCATTTGCACACAACGCTCATTTTTGCAGGAGTCCGTTGGAAGGATTGCAGTGACTACTGCGTGAAGTGCAAAGGTCGAGAACACGGTAAATGTCACAAAGTACACAAGCCAGACTGTAATGGAGGATATCATTGCATGTGAGTAGCCTACCAATTCCCATTTTCACTGACAATTTTAGTATTGTTATATCTTTGCAGGTGTCTAGGCAAACACGTGACTAAGTCGGATGTGCTCAAGGATGCTGCAACATGTCGCCTTGGTTTGTAGGAAAAACCTCGCAATATAATTATACTTATTGCACCTTAGAAATGAATATTATAGTAAAATAGAGACACACGAAGGTACCTCAGCCATTCTTCTCCAACGAAGGTCGCCCATCACATGCTCTATTTCCCGGAAGAGAGAAAATCGGAGTGCGACCACATCATCATAGAGACGACAGCGAAAGAAAGCGGTTTTTTTTTTTCTGGCCGTGTCTCTTATGGTATATGGTCTGCACTCGATCTTCTCGTCTTCAGAAATCGAGTGTAACTCCTCTCATTTGTGAAGGGGACAAAAGGCTACTGTATTTTTACAATTGCCTAGGCCAGCGAGATCAAAGCACATGTGTGCAAGTTACAGCAGTAATTACTTTAACTATCAAGGATGTAATCTACTTTTCGACAAATTACTGAATTACAGCTATTGCAATTTCTCTGAACAGTGATTCATATTCATACAAAAAAGGGCCACAAGGCAGTAACGTCAGATGGCATGTAAGAATAATTTCGCATTTGGCACTTTTTATCGCTTCTAGAATAAACACCATAGTTCCAAATGTAGATGGCGATGCCGCCCCACAGACACATCCTAACCAGGCAGGGTACGCTTTCTGTAAACGGTTGTAGACCCATGCATGGATCCCGAAACATGTTCGTTTGTCCAGAACGGTGTTAAGTAGCAAAAAATAAAAATACAAAAAAGTGGTGAATAATACTCTTGATGGTTCAATCCCCGCGGCGACTAAATTTTGCAATCAAGGTTGGCGGCCACTTGTTGGCTTCAAAATGATTTGACATCTGATTTTGATATTTAGCGCGATTTGGCACCAAACCGTAGGCGCCAACCCAAATGCAAAATTTAGTCGCCACGGGGGATCGAACCCTTAACAGTACCTTATGCTTCTTTTTTGGTACTGCTAAACCGTTCAGCGAAAATGAAACATGGTTTTGCGTTCCCTACATGCGTCCCTACAATATGCACAAAACCGTTTTGAAAAAGCGCACCTTGCCCTGAAAGACCTCCCTTGTAAGTAACTCCGCCCTGCCGAGTTTGGTTAATTTTATTTATTTCATTCAATACGCTATGTAAGACAGCGTGAGAGAGGAAAAAATGGCTAAGGTCGGGCTCGATTTGGGGTATTATGGAGCTTAAAAGTGAGTGTAGAGATGCGAAGTGGAACGACAGAGAGGAAAAGCGAAAAGAAACTGTCGACAAGGCCAAAAAGCAGCGAAGAGGGCGGGCTTAGAAGGAGGGTTTGTCCGGACGAGTTTACGGGATTGCCAGCCATTGCTTTCTCCGACCAGTAGTTGATTCGGCAATCAACCCAGCTGATTCCACGCCCTATGCTAGCCACGCACCGGTCAGTGGGCGATCATGGGCTAGCGCCAGGCGGCGATAGCTAACAACACTACCCCAGGGCCTTGTTACCTTGTTGTTTCAAATTACGAGCATGGTTTATCGCTGTGGGTGCTTAACCACGCTCAGGAGGTACGGAAGAGATTGGTTTGGTTGCCAAATCCTGACCTTAGCCTTTAAAACACACAGATGTAATTGCAAGTGTCTAACTTCATAGCTGTCTAGACGTCCCCTTGACTAAGTCACATACTGAAAGGAGCTGCCATATGACGCCTTGATTCGTACAAACTTCACAATGGAATGCTGTTTATTGCACATTGGAAATAAATATAACTGTAAAGAAGGCACACAAAAGACGTATGGCAGTGCTATATGACAGAAACCACACTAAACCGCGTCGTCCTTCTCGACGGAGAAGGGTGTGCTAACCACTTCGTGACCAGCAGCAACAATGATTACGTCGTCTTTTGGTTTATCGCCAGAATCCTTTGGCACCGTTTCTATCGCTCGAACCACATCCATTCCTTGGAGGACCTGGAAAACGGAAATGTTCATTCGATTCATTTACTTAACTTTATTTATTTACTTGTCAATTTGCTCCATGCGGTTCGAAGTCGATTTGTTAATGGACAGCCTGGACCGTACATCACAAATAATTCCCGACGATATGTTAGGGAAATATAGGGGTGTTCTATCCTAATGGTGCGGTGTTTACCATAAACAATGTATCTTGGTTAGGATTTCATGGCTCTTGGATTTCTTCAAAAAGCAGAGTGTGTATAATATACTATTATACTATTTCGAAGCTTAACCCTTAGATGCTGTTCGTTGTGAGTGGTGTGAGGGTGCAGTTTCTGTCGGAGACATTTTCAATTGATGCATGCTTTACAGCTTATAGAAGGTAGTTTTGGATGAAGGCAGGCTAGGGGGTCGAAGGGTGAAGGTAAGGTGGCAGTGGTTAAGAGGGTGAAGAAACATAGGAGCAACGGTCAGATGCCAAACGTTCTTTGCTTTGTATTTCGCAGTGACGCCGCTTCTGCACCAGTGTCCTCTTCAACGCTCACGTTTCTTGAGATAACGGGGGCTTAAAGCCATGGCGGCTCGGATGCTCTTAGGACCGCCTAACTCTTCGATTTGGGTATTTTTCTCCTTCCTTTGATCTGCTGATCCTGCCTTTATTTTCATTAAGACCGCCCACCTCTCGACTGGGTACATTTCTCCTTCTTTGATCTGGAATCCTTCTTTAATTTTATGAAGCACCTTTTCTGCGGTCTCTACCCTCTCCACGTCTATCCACACCCACACGTCAACACCCGGACTGGTGATTGCTGAATGTCAGCAATCTTTGGAGTTCTGGCCACCAGCTGGGTAGATCGCTCTGTCGGAATGCATCTACCATTTTCAGAACGGTGTAATTAGCAAATAGAAATTCACTTCAAAATTCAAATTCAGTTGTACTATCAGAAAGCCATGTCACTTTCCTCACCTTTCCAAATACAACATGTCGACCATCCAGCCAAGATGTTTTCTTCACAGTTATGAAAAACTGGCTGCCATTAGTGTCCTTTCCAGCGTTCGCCATTGACACCCAACCGGCTCCATAATGTTTTAGTTTGAAATTTTCATCAGGAAATTTCTCCCCGTAAATGGACCTTCAAAAGATATCTTTTCTATAAATAACTCAATCATATCAAATTTGACTAAAACTGGATCACCGTACCTTCCACCTGTTCCATCACCATTCGTGAAGTCTCCACCTTGGATCATAAACTCAGGAATGACGCGATGGAACTTACTGCCAACATATCCTTCGCCCTAAAGAGTTTGAATTTGGATCCACTTTCTCCCAAAAACGAAACTCTGAGTACCTTTGGCTTCTTCGCCAATTCAATAAAGTTTTTCGCTGTTTTCGGTACCGTCTTGCCAAACAGGCCGATCACAATTCTTCCCATTTGCTGGCCATTCGATTCAATATCGAACCAAACCTGAGACGACTTTATTGTGAACTCGAATCATGCAAATCTGTTAAATAACATTAAAAGGATAAAGGATAAAGCATTTGCCGTTGATCAATCCCTTTTGGGATGCGGCACGCATTCTACTTCCATTTGTACATTCGTAGTGGCGTTTGAATGCGATGTGGCCTATACAATGACTTGCGGGGGCCAGCCGATGTACAAGTCAGTGTTTTTATCCTCCCAGACAAGTCTGGTACCAATTAACCGACCCCGGAGGGATGGAAGGCTTGGTTGGCCCGGGCGACTCACGACCCAGGATTTGATCCCCGGACCGCTCGCGTGGTAAGCGTGCCACTTGCCACTACACCACTTCCGC